CGTGAAGCTGGTGGAAGAAATGCTTCCAGGCCACCCTTGAGCAACGGGAAACAGCAACCCATGGACAAATGCTGTTCCCTTTCATCCCTGGATGTATATTTCCGAGATGCCTTTCAGAAGTGCCTCAGACGATCCTGGTGGCGGGGAGCATTTGCCATCCACAGGGCTGGCCACCTTGATGAGGCATCCTTGTGTTGGCTTTCCCTTCTTTCCTGTGCTATGCTTCCTGTCCCGCAGTCCTGCTCCCTGGCAAACAAACTGTCTCTATGCAAGCCTTTGTCTCAGGCTCGGCTTTGGAGGAGTGTAGAGTAAAACAGATCCCTAGCAGAGTCTTGTATGAGCAGGTTCCATAAACTTTGTCTAATTCATCTACATTTATTTCACTGGCTGTGTTCTTTTTCAGATAGTAATTAAGTTGGAGACTGTCTCTAAATCAAAAATAAGTGGTTCAGGACTAACCTATATTTCATTTACTGGAACAGTGGCCAGCAAAACTGTTCCTGCCCTTAATAGAAACATCCACTATCCAGACAGGTGCAGGGTTCTACTCTCCCTCCCCTTTCCTATAGAACCAAAAGCCTCTAGGGGCAAAGAGACCCTTATTCAGAAGGCATACTTATCTGTGACATTGTAAGATGAGAGTTTAGGAGGAAGGGCCTTCAAAAGAGGGAAGAAAAATCAACATATGAGCAATAAAATTCATATTGAATTTTATTCAAATAGACGAGAGGAAAATCAGACAGAAAGGACTTTAGTGGGTAAATTCGAGGATATGTGGGGATTTGAAAGGGAGCAAATGAGTAGAAAGCAGTCTGGAGAATGTTTTAGGTTGAGTGGGTAAGAAAGAGGGCTGGGAGTCAGGACAGGAGACGGCAGATGGTCAGTTATGAAGTAACACACAATATATTTGTTGTAATGCATTTTTCAAGGAATCCTTTTTCAGTTATTAAAATACAGAGAAAATATAGCTTCTTGGTCTTTTGGCTAAGCTCAAGTGTAAAATACAGAGAAAATCATTTTAGGTTCGCTCATAGAACACTTGCAAATGAAATCTGCCCTCCTGAAAAGCATTTACTAGCAGCCGTCAGATCAGCAGCGAACATTTTTAATTCAGACAACATCTACAAATGGACGCATCAATAGTTCTTCTGTGGTTGTATCATTCTCTCTTACAAAATGTGTTAACTACCTATTTTTTAAATTTCCTGACTTACAGGTAAATTCATGAGGGCTTTCATGAATTTAGATGTCAGCTATTTTTCATTTTATTAAAAAATGGATTCTATAAATAATACTGAGTGTAAGAATGAGAGACTCAAAAGGCTGCAGGTTGGCTGCTCTTCTGGGCAATATCTATCAAGGGGCCTCTTGACTGGCCTTCCTTTCCCATTCCCAGATGTCCAGGAAGGACCCTAGGACCTGAAGCTTTCTGGCAGCCCATACCTTCCCAATGAAGTACCAGTTAGAACTGTGGAACTCAATTCTTGTCATGTCTTTATTACATAACTTAGTTTCATGCCCCTGAACACCCCTGGCCAACATTCCTTCTGGGATACCTTCTAACTGTCTCCTTCATTCCGATGATTGACAATTACAAACTTGGGCATTAACCCCACACCCCATCCTCAGCTCACTCTCCCCAGCCCCCACCAATTTCTCTTAACTTCCCAATTGGATCTTTTATTTTCTATGGATCCTCATCCATAACTTTTAATTTTTTGTTCTTCTCTTTATACCACTTCTCCTACCACTCTTATATGACAGTTCATTATATACTGGTTTCGGGTCCCAATCTCACCCCCGCCATCCCACAGACTCCACTCTTTGAAAGCAGGCCCCAAATTTCACTTACTAGGACATAAACTCCACGGCAACAGAGCACTTGTATTCTTCACCACTGCGTCTAGTGCCCAGAACAGAGACTGGCACAATGCTTAACAAATATTTAGTGAATTCATGGATTTATCCTTAAAAACTCCACATGGCCCGGTTCAATATTTTGTGCATAACTGATCCTTTATAAACATTTGTTGAATCAAACTTATCCACTAAAGAGCTGCTTGGCTCCAAAACATGGAGTCTAGTATTTTATAAATTTGAGTTATAGGCCACTAAGAAAAACTTTTCTAAAGTAGTTTCCTGACCTTTTAAAACTACATAATAAAGACATCTCTTCCCGAGATGGACTTTTTCTTGCACGAACTTCCTTAATGAGGCCTGAGCCATCCCACCTGATGCCAGGGACAAGAACTATAAATTTCAAGCTGAAAAAACCTTCAGAAATGCAATCACCTTGCTGTAAAAGTGAGGGCAACAAGCTCAAAAAAGCCGTGCTGCATTGTCATTCAGTTCTTGTGCCCACAATTCAGCGTTCTTCTGCAACAATCTGTCTTAGAGCACAGACAGAAATGTGAGGAAAAATCACTGCGTGGAACGACAGGATCTGGATATCTTAACACCAGATCTGCAGAGAGCTGTCTACGAGGTAAGAAATATAAAAGCATCCCCTCAGTTTCTCCACACTAGATATAAAGACGAAACCATGATTATGGGCTTGTTCTAACCAGCTGCTCTGTTCTAACCAGCTGAATCAATCTGACACAAGCAATGGTTGAAAAGATCCACTGCCCCAGAAAAATACAATCAAAATTCTGTAACTATTATGAACTTTATAGATTCTATTGTTACAATTGCTTAGCAAACACTTTTCATACATCCCTCTCTCACCACTATTGGGTTAATAGTCAAAATTCTCTTTTCTTCTTCTTCTCTTTCACTTAAAAAAAGTATACACACACACACACACACACACACACACAGTTGTATACTGATTTTGGTTAGTCATTTGTGGTCTAGTCAGATGAGATAACATTATTTTGAGATTCTGGTACTTTATGTACAAAATCCCCTGGATTTACCTTGGATCTTTCCAAATCTTGGATTATATGAGGTTCATTATTATAGTGAAGTTCCTATGCTGCTGAGTAGAATTTTATATTTTATAATTATATTTTTATATTTCATACATTTATATTTACATTTAATTTAAAATTTTACTTCTTAACTGGAAGCCACTATGGAAAGAAAAATGGAAGTAAAATTTCAATTTAAAATATTTTTAAATATTGTTCCATTGACTTAGTAAAATCCTATTTCCGATATAAACAACAATGTGTAATTTCTTTCTCACTCTCTCTCTGTAGTCAAGCCTATATGCATATATATACGTGTGTATATATTATTTATATTTAATCACAAAAGGTTCCTGAGCTTTCTGCATAATTGTTTCTTTGTATCAAATCATCCAGCTAAATTTCAATTTTTTAATGAGTTTCTTTTAAAAATGGTTTAGTAACAAAAAATGTTTGGGTGTCTACTATGTGACAGACATACATTTATTCATTCAACAAACACGCAAAAAGGCTCTATGAATCCAGTCTGTTCTAGGTACTGAGACATAGAGGGATAAAGCAGATGGCCATGCCTCTGCTATGATGGGGACAGAGAGAAACATGAAAAAATAATTCCAGACAGTGATATGCACAGTGAAAAAAACATTCCAATGGGACAGAGTGACTAGCAGTGTGCACATCTTTAAAGAGGGTATTTCAGGGAAAGCACCTCTGAGGAGGTGACATTTGATTCTAGATCTGAAAGCTGAGAAGAAACCAGCAACACGAGGATGAGCATTCCCAGCAGAGGCATCAACAGTACAATGGTTCGGAGATCTGGTCTACTTGAGGGACAGTAAAGGGCAAGGTAAGAAAAGAGAAAGGAGCAGGAAGTCAGGGGAGAGATAGGCAGGGGCCTGATCCTATCAGACTGTGTAGGCTGTGGTAAGGGGCGTGGACTTGATTCAAACGGCACTGGATTACCATTGCAGGGTTTTAATCCAGGCAATGAAATGATCCTATCTAAGATTTTAAAATCCGGTTTGTCTGGACTGTAGAGGAGTAGGAGATTAAGCAGGAAGACTGCCCTTCAGGGGCAGACGCAGTGGACAGAAAGAGGGAAGGAGGTCGAGTCAAGCTGTGTTTTGGAGGCAAAAATACGAGGATGTGGGAGGAGAGGGAAGCAGCGGCCCCAAGGAGGATTCCTGGGCTTTTAGCCTGAAGAACTGGGTAAGTGGTAGTGCAATTTGTTGGATGGGAAGACGGGAAGAAACGATGGTTGGGATATAATCAAACCTTTGCTTTAAATGTGCTACAACATCCAAATAAAGGTATAAGCAGACAGATGTACTCAGTTGGATTTTTAAGAACCTCCTTTTGTGACAAATTAATGATAATTATACATATATACTATATATATATATATATATATATATATATATATATACTACAGAGAGAACTATTCTAATTTTGGAGATGTTAGCATATAGATAGTATTTAAAACCACAGATAACCTTGGGAGACAATGTAGGTAATGAGAAAAAGAAAGCTAAAGATCAAGCCCAGGTCACTCAAACATTTAACTGTTGGGCAAGGAGAAGGACTCAGCCAAGATGTCTAAAAAAGGAGTGGCCAGAAAGAAAGAGAAATACAAACAGCACATGTTATTGCAAGAGTCACGTGAAGACAATGTTTACTGAGGAGAAGTGATTGACTATGTCAAACGTTGCTGAGAGGCTTAGTAAGATGCCGTCTGAGACTGGACCAACTATTGGATGTAGCACCATGGTGGTCACTGTTAGCTCTGAGTAGCACGGAGGGAATGGAAGTTCAAGTGGAGAGAAGAGAAGACAGAATGAGAGGTTAGGAAGTAGGAATAGTGAATATTAAAAACACAAGTGCCAGATGTTACTGAGGATAGATAAGTGAATATGACACGGTCCTTGTCTTCCAAAAAGGCCCATGTACGTGTTAAATCTTTTATCGACAATCTCTGAAAAACGTAATTTTTTTGATACAAAAGGGGGCTAAGGGGGCTACATTTACATTAATAAGCACTTTACTATAGTAACAGGTCTTTATACAGGAAAAAGTTAAGCTAAATAACACTTTATTAAGAACACAAAATCTTCAATGAATCAAAAATTTTATCATCAGATTTTCAGGTTGTTCGTGTACAAACTAAAAATAGATTTTATACGTCATTCCACAAATTAAAATGCTCAAACATCATGGTTCAGAATATGACTATTCAAAAAAGCACTGTAGACATTTTCTTCGTCCTGTTTCCAAAATCTTCCTAGATAGGATGTTAGACAGCTACCACATATAATATGTGTGAACTGAATAAGATAAATGTGTCCTTTGCAACAAAAAGTCTGAGATTTTATGTAATTATAGGCATGCTGAATGAACAGTTTAGAATAATGTACCACTGTCATCAAAGCACATCTTCATACACACGTGTAATCCATTCTGCACAAGGGTTTCAACTCAGTGTGTATGTAATTAAATTGTAAGGTGCAGCGATAGCTGCTGCTGAGTTGAAATTTTGCTTTTTCAGTTTAAAGAAATGAATAGAAAACATAGTCTAGTGCACATCAAAGTACTTTTTCGAGACAGTTAAATCTTATCAAAGAGGTCTTCTGGACTACTGTTTCTTAGAGTTTCTAAAGACATGTTTTCAGCTGAGCTGTGCTCCTTTCTCAACGTCTCAGGTACTGGAGGTTCAAGCCTAGAGCAAAAAGAAAATCAAGATAATTTTATTCTTAAAAATTCCATATAAAGTAAAAGAAAATTAAGAGATACATGAGTGAAATAAAAGTAAAATTTCTGTTTCAGAATTGGTTCAGAGATTTATTTCCCTACGCTGCCTTAACATAAAGAAAGAGAGATGAAGGGAATTTAATTTTTTTAACTGCTTTAAGATTAATTTGTCTCTATTCTGAGCTAACAAAAATTCAAGGACCTACAACAATATTCATAATTAAGGTCAAGAAATGAAATATCTCTGTGCTGTATTTTTACACCAAGATATAAGGTTTCTCAAGCCATTGCTTTAATAATTCCACCACAATTTACATTTTCCTTTGGCTCCCTTAAATTCTACCTATTACCATGCATTTTAATCTCTTAACAGCAGGAAGTTCTGATCACATGAATTTCCTTCAGTGGTCATTTGATTATCAGCGTGTACATAACTAATAATGACTGCACGGTTAGCAATTGTTGATGAAATGCTGTTGGTCCACATTCATTTACTGAATCTCTGTATCTTCATTTAGTAACTCAGTTTTATTCAGTTTCAGGACTGCAGGCACTACATCAATGGACTGACCTCTATAAGTAAATGTTCTCTTTGTGTCCTAGGATAAAAGGCAAGATCACTGACTGTTAACTGGTCTTAAAAACGGTGAGCTGGAGGGTAACAGAGCTCAATCAGGACAGCTTCGCAACACATGTTTATACCCTGGTATACACCTTGTCAGTGGTTCTCTATGGAACCTAAATAAAATATGCTTAATATTCACAATTAGAGGTGGCCACAGGGGCAATTATGACTAGGTTGAGTCAACCCAGTAATACTCAGTAATACCCTCATATTTCCAACTTCAAAGGCAGAGGAGGAGCCATAGCAGCTTGGGAGAGCTGAAAGAGAACAGGACTTGAAGTCAGGACATACAGACTTGAATCCAGGTCTCTTTCTTATTAGCTCTGTGACTTTAGGCAAGTCATTTAACCTAACTGAACTTCTGCTCCCTCACCTCTAAAACTGAGATAATAATATCTGCCTCAGAGGCAGTCTAAAGATTAAATGAGGTGTTATAATAAAAATGCTTGTAAATTCCCACAAAACATCTGGAAACTATTATTATTAGCTGCTAATATTGCATAAACTACAAAACAGCTCCTGCTAATAGCAACTTTAATTTAAAAGAATAGCCAATTAAAAATCCCCAAACATTGAGTATGTTTAGACTAGGAGTATTTCAAAAAGCTGCACTCATTCTTAGTTGCACAAATTATTAGAAATGAAGTCACGACAGGGTCCTCCTTGGCCTCGTGACTGCATACAGATATCCATGGTCGGCTGCCACTAGACCTGGGACGTGTTCTGTCTTATCCTGAGCAAACCAAGTTCAGACAACGTTACCCTCACAGGAATGCCAAGGTGCTAGGCATTAAGGCATTGTCAAGATGACAAGTACTACCCCCCGGGAGTTTCAATGTTAAAATTAACAATACGTACGGACATAATTACTGTAACATGTAATTAAATATCCAAAAATATATTCCAGGGGAGGAGAAAATGATACAGTACAGAATAAAAGTATAATTATTACATGTATAAGTTTTCAGTGTCAACTCCAAACACATTAAACATTTTTCTCTGGCCCTAAATGTCTTAGAGTTGCTTTTTCTCCTCCTAGGCAAAAATAGAGAATTGAATTATTTCAATTAAAAAGTCAGACACGGAAAAACCTCAGTAATTTTGTTCGTAGTCTAGACACTGTACAACCAGAATACAGAGATCTAACAGTTTAGTTAAAAAAAAATAAATCAGCATCAGACAAAAGGACTACTCTGAAGAGACGAGTCTGAAGGAAACAGATTCCTGATGCTCCATTTATGATTCTCATCTCCTTCTCAAGTCGTGAGGAGCTTAAGAAACGGATTTTGACTCTTTTGTTCTTAGTGCCTAGTACGTATTAGGTGCTCAATGAAAGTCGTTCCATGAATGGAGGTCATTGTTCTGCAGCTTTCATATCTGGTTAGTCAGCAGAGTACATTTAGAACTCTCCTCACAATCAAAAAAAAGTGTCATCATTTTTATAAGTAATAAATGTTTATTGTAAGACTTTTTATAAATTCTGAAAAGCATAAAGAGGAAAATAAAAATGTACATTATCCCATTGTTGCATTATTTGTATTTTATATTTATTTTTTTTCAAAAATGAGATATTCTCTACATATAATTTTGCAGCTTGATGTTATTACTCCACAATATATTAGCAATGTCATTACATGTTGAAAAATATAGATCTACATTCATCATTAATTTTAACTTGGATATACTAACCATTAATCCACTCATGAATATTTGGGTTGGTCCCATTTTTTAATGCTCTTATAAACAATATAACAATCAATCTTAGCATATTTATCAAGTTATTTTTTCACGAACATGCTTATTCCAAGAATTCATGCTTAGAGGTGAAATTTGAAAGCAAATAACTCAGAGAACCTGTATCTAAAGTCTTAATAGAAAGTGAGCTAAACAAGTAATTTGAAACTTGGGAGTTCCTCTCTGTCTAACTAAATTACCACCATTAGTTATGGCCAACTTTAAGTTGTAAATCTTCCACTAAGAATTTCTTTTTTTTACTTTCCACATTCAGGCTGATTTTTCTTTTCTCTGATCATTCAAAGTAACTAATGTCTGCACTCTATATTTCTTTTTTTTTTAATTGAGGTAACATTGGTTCATATTATATAGATTTCAGGTGTACATCATTATAATTCGACTTCTGTATACACTATATCGTGTTCACTATCAAATGTGTGGTTTCCATCCGTCACTATATGATGACTCCCTTTATCACTTCCTCCCCGCCTCCTTCCCCTCTGGTAACCACTGATCTGTTCTCTGTATCTATGTGTTTGTTTGTTTGTTCTTGTTGTTGTTGTTTTTTATCTTCCACGAGTGAAATCATATGGTATTTGTCTTTCTCCATCTGACTTATTTCACTTAGCATAAAACCCTCAAGGTCTACCCATGTTGTCACAAATGGTAAGATTTCATCTTTTTGTTTTGTGTATAAATATATGTATATCTTCTTTATCCATTCGTCCATTGATGGGCACTTAGGCTATTTCCATGTCTTGGCTATTGGAAATAAATCTGCAATGAATATAGGAGTGCATATATCTTTTCAAATTAGTGTTTTCATATTCTTTGGATAAATACCCAGAAGTGGAATAGCTGGATCACATAATAGTTCTATTCTTAATTTTTTGAGGAATCTTCATACTGTTTTCCACCAGTTTGCCTTCCCACCAGCAGTGTATAAGGGTTGCATTTTCTCCACATCCTCTCCAACACTTATTATTTCTCGTCTTTGTAATAATAGGCATTCTGATGGGTGTGAGGTGATATCTCATTGTGGTTTTGATCTGCATTTCCCTAATAATTAGTGATGTTGAACATCTTTTCATGTGTCTTTAGCCATCTGTACATCTTTTTTTGGAAAAATTTATGTTCAGATCCTTTGCTAAGTTTTTATATTTAAATATATAGTTTTATTCATTTAATCAATATTTGTTGAGTATGTACTATGAACAGCTCACTGCGTTAGGAAAATATAAGAAATATGACAAAGGTAACACATAATTCTTGCTCACAGGAAGCTTCCAGTTAAACTTCTTACTTTCTTTACTTTTTTTCAAATTAAAAAATTCATATTTTTTCAAATTTTAGTTTTTTCATCCTAAAAATTTTATAAGTAGTTTCAAGGCAAAGATGGTGTCATATAAATCTGTTCACAGTGATTTATCCCATTAGGAATCTCTATAAACATTATATCAGTATTTAGGATTCAGGTAGATTTTCAGATAGTTTTTACGAACAACATGATTCAACAGGAGCAATTCTGAATCCAGGGTCAGGAAATCTTTATTCATGCTCCACCACACTGAGATTTTTATCAGGTGACTGCACCTTTCTGGATCTCAGTTTCTTAATTTGTGGAAAGTTAGGGTTACTATAAATGATCTTGGAGTTCTTTCAGCCCCTGAATTCTGTGACAGTTGTGCTCCAATAGTCGAGCACAGACTACTTTGCAAAATACAGGTTCTCAAAAAATATCTGTGGAATAAGTAAATAATGTGAATTAAAGAAGAAAGGTAAATGGCAGAATAAGAAACCATCTTTGTAGAGTTAAAGGCTCAAATATAAGGACTATTTCAAATAAAGAGAATAAAATGAAACTTCTTCAGATGATGACAACCTCACTAAAAGATGGCTTCTGTTCTCCATAACATAACTGCAGTTCTATGTTCTATTAGCTTGATTTCACATTGCGTTAAAACACACACACAGAAACACACAAACGATTACGACAACTTGATCAAAATTGTACAACCACCATCTAACTAACAATGAATAGTGTAGATGAAAAGTCAAATTTGTCAAAAGAAATATCTTATTCTGAGAAAGTTTCTCTAAAATGTTAGAATGAATGATTGCCTTCTCTTTCAACTTTTTGGAAGTTGAATTACCAACATCTTTCTTTTTTTTCCTGAGGGAGATTCGCACTGAGCTAATATCCGCTGTCAATCTTCCTCTTTTTTTTTCTGTACGGGAGATACCGCCACAGCATGGCCACTAATAGATGAGTGGTGTAGGTCCACGCCTGGGAACTGAACCTGGGCCACTGAAGTGGAGAGCGCCAAACTTAACCACTAGGCCACCAGGGCTGGCCCACCAACATCTTCTAAAATGGTATTTCCAGTTATTGTTTCATTTTGTCAAGATATTTTCTCAGCCAAGTTTAAAATGATATTACTATGGCTGGAATATCAATTTTTCTTATTCAAATGAGAAGTATTAGTATTGTTTAGAGTGGATTACTTGCATTTTATAACATATTCTGAGAATAATATTTCTGAAACGTGTCAAGGTGCCTATCTGAGCAAACTAAGAGGTCCAGGAAAATGTGTAATGACTGATGGCAC